CTTATCAAGTCGTCGTATATGGTGTCATCTAACCTGTTATTGCTAAAACAGTTATGTATGTTTGTCAATGCATGGCAACCTTTCACAAGCGTTGCTGTATATGCTGTCGATATAAGACACTTCAAAAAGACCGTTTTCACCAATGTTGGATTATCCTCTTTCCAGTTTTAACTTATCGTTATTCAAGTGAAGCCAAGCATGTTAAAGTTGGAATCCATCGCAGATCCGGAGAAGCCATGGGTAAATTTTTAGATAATGCAGCTTTTTTCTTTGGCTTTGATCCGGGAATATGGGGTCTACCAACTTAGAAGCTCCTTGGTGGTGTGTATTTATACTACATGAGTATTATAAGCATAATATACATGTACGGAATAAATGTAATTCTCCAATATATATATATATATATACATATATATTGAAAGCATAACTAGAACGGACCCCAGATCGGCACTCATGTTGCCTTAATCATTACAATATCGGTTTGGTCTCTTCATAAAATAATGAAAAAATTAGGAAAGAAAAACCACTTGAAACATCCAAATTATGGAATAGGATATTAAGGTTAATATATTTAAGAAATAGGGCTAGATATTGAATTTTCAAGTATTGAAGTTTAACAATTTAATAAACATATTGTATATATCAATCAAGATTATCGTAATTACTAAATGCTAAAATCAATAAAATTCAGTATAAGTGATCCTATAAAAATAGATATTTCACACAGTTTTTATTTATTAGTTGTGATTATTTCTATTGAATTGTGTGACATTTTTTTTTAATGTGCTTCTATTTTTTGTATTTGTCTTAATTTGTATTTTTTGTGGTCCTTATCGATAATGTTCTCTAAAATAATTCGAATAACTTATGTCTTGTACATGACTTAAATTTCTCAAAAATCATATCTGTTTGACTAACTTTTGTTGGATCTGATAACATGACATTTTGAAGAGTCTACTAAGAGATGATTTTAAATGGAGGATACTTTTACTACGTGGTTTATGAAGTATGGTTTTCAAATATCTCCCAGGCGAGATTGGCCTTAGTCTGATCAGGGAGGATTTTCAAGGATTTTATTTTTATTTGATTTGTTTTAGATTTATTTAAGATTTAGTTTTACTTATATTTTTTTTATTTTGTTTAAAAAAAATTTTCATAATTTTGGAGATTTATCTTACTTGGGAAATCTACAACTTTAAGGTCTCCTCATTTCTAAATAAGAGACTCTTTTATTAAAGAAGTGGAGAAAAATTGGTTAAATTACAGAAAGAACAAAAACTTTTGGAAGAGAAATTGCAGAGAAATCTAACCCAGTTGGGAGTCGAATAAGGAATGTTCAACTCTTGGACAAGAGTCCTGATTTGAGACTGAAAATTTTCATTTCAATAACCATCCCAATTACTTCCTATTGCACCGCCTATTGTTGTTGAAAATTTCTAACTAATTTTTCAGATGTAATACCCCAAAAAGTAAAAAAAAAATTAATTTAAATTTTAATTTGAGGCCTTAATTGAAAGAATAAAAAGTTTTGGGGTCAATTTGAATGAATTAAGGACTTGATTGAAGAAATTTAAACATTCGAGGACTAAATTGAAAATGTTAGCAGCCAGATTCGATTTTGGAATAAAACTTAGGGACTAGATCGTAAAGAATCAAAAATTTCAGGGACGTAGTCAGAAAAAAGTTGAAAAAAAGCTGGATTTTATCTTGATAGGATGGCCGACCAATTGATGGGGAATGGTGCCCATTTTGTGTTTTTTCAATCAAATTGAGCTTATAATCGAATTCTTTGGTCAGAGACAATGCATAACTCTCAATCAATTTGAGAAAAGTAACTTTTTAGCCTTGTCAATTTCTTAATTTTCTGTCTGGCACTCTTGTTCACCATTTTTGGGCATTTCAAGCTTAAATTCTTTAATTTAAGCTGATTAAAAGCTAAATTATTCCTTTGGTGACCTTCAGTTCATCATTCCAAGCAAGTCTGAGGATCAAGTTGCCAAAAGTTTAGGTTAAAAGTTTCAAATTTGTCTAAAATGCATAATCAGATACTTGTAGGAGCTATAGACTTGACTGGGTGTCTAGATCTGCCTTGACTTGAACCCCTAATTAATGGGTTTGGGCTCTGGGTTTAGAATTATTTTGCTTGGGGCAATCCAGCTGAAGCTAGACTAAATTTTTGGTTTGGGCCCAAATTTTTGGGCCAAGACTAGTGGACCAACTGGGTTGGTAAGCATTTTGTGTTTGGGTATGGGCAGGATCCAGATCTGGAAGCCGGATCCAAACAGTAGAAAATAATAAATAAATTAGAAAAAAAGTAGAAAATGGAAAATTGGTTGGTTCAAAGGGTTAATAATCGGTTCATGGCCGATTCAAGGCATTGTAAGAAAGGTAATACGTTAGCCTAGCTGGTTCATGGCCGGTTCAAGGAAAAACGAGTGGTTCATTGATAAAAGTAAAGAAATAGGGTTTTAAATGGTTGGTTCAACACTGTTATGGACGGTTCAGAGTGTTTTCTAGCCGGTTTAATAGATTAAGATTGGTTCAAGGGTTTTATGACTGGTTCAAGGCTTGTATGGACTAGTTCAGTGAGATTAAGGTCGGTTCACGGCAGTTCAAGGGTTTTATGCCCGATTCTTGGTCAGTTCAACAGTTTTTAAGGCTGGTTCAAAGGGTGTTCAACCCAGTTCATTGGTTTTAAGGACGGTTTAAAGATGGTTTAATGGTTTTAGGTCTAGTTCATGGTTGGTTAAAGTTTTAAGAGCTGGTTCATGATTAGTTTAATGATATTTCAGCCAGTTTGATAGGATTCGGGTTAGTTTTGGCAATTTCTAACCAAACCAAGCCAATTCAAAGGTATTTAAGGCCGGTACAATCTAAGTTGATGATTTTTTATATGGGGATTGGTTATAGGTTTGGTTTAGTTGGGGTTCGGGATCAAGGTAAAGGACCTCTAAATGCATGCTAAGGTCCCGAAATGGGTTTTGGACTGTTTAAGGCACTCAAGCTCTTAATAGTGTAGATTTTGGTTCCGATTTTGATGTTTTGTTATTGTGATTGTAGATACTCCCGCGAAAGCACGTCCCAATCAATAAGCTTGTGGTTCGGTATTTTTGGTTTTCGATTATGGTTTGGGACTATGATTGATAATACTTACTTTATATGTGTTCATTTTATTCTAGTTATAAAATAATTGATATGAAATGATTTCTGATTTTGAAAAGATAAAATTGGAACATGTATTTGGTTATTTTAAATTTGTAGTGAGTTATTTGAAACTATATGTTTAATTGAAATTCATGCCTCTATTACAACTGTTTCTGAAAATTTATGTTGGGAGTTATTCTAGATACTAGTTATAGTTCTGAAAATGGTTCTAATATAGGATCCTTATGTGAAATGTGATATAAGATATATAATTCCTCAACATGACACGCTTTGTCATGAATTGATATTCTGATTCTGATTCCAGTTTTGATATGATATATTATGACCTCGATATATGTGATATGTTCTACCTCTGACATGATATGCTCTGTCATGAGGTAAGATTCTGTTATTTTGGTACTCCCATATATTTATGCCTTAAAAATAAAATATATTCCATAAATTGGGTTTTAAGTTACGAGGCAAATTGTAAGATTTCTAGATTTGAATTTGTTACTCACTGTTTATATTTTTGGTATGTATTATGATACATATCCCAGCATGATTAGAGTCTATTTTATCATTCATTTAGTTTCGCGACTCACCCTTTTATATTTTTTAGATCGTAGCGAAGATTTGCGTTTCTAATTAAGAAATTCGTTTCCTACCAAGTCGAATTTGATGTATAACTTCACATTCTTATTTGTATTTGTATTTTATAATTACTCCAGTTTATTTCTCAGATAGAATTATAATGTACTAAATATATTATGCTATTTAGACTATTTGAACTTGTACTTTGTATTCGATCAGAGGTTTACTAAGGTTGGGGTACTAGTCTTAGTACCGGTCACATATCCAAGTTTGGAGTGTGACATCAGATTTCTCCTTTGATGAAAGAAAAAGAAAAAAATTTTCAAATCAATTGTAAATATCCGGCTTTCAACCATTAATTACTTTTTATTCAATAAATTATTTGAAATTTTGGAATTGTTTCACTAGGTCTTTTTTTTTTTTAGATAAATACTCGAGCTTTTATATGGATCATAATCTCACCAGGTGTACACAGTGGTGGATCTTTGTTTGCCCAGGGAAGCTACGGCCTCTTCAAAGAAAATTTTTTTTACCTTCTTTTAAATAGCTATATGTGTAACTCCTACAAATAAATAAAAATATCTAAGAATTTTACTTTGATGCCCAAAAAAATTATAGAAGGTTAGTAGGACTTTGATCCCTTAACGCGACAGTATGTTTGTGTCGGATTGGCCTGGATCTCACGAAGAAGAGATCTCCACCGTTGCTTTTCAAAGATGGATCATCAACAAAGATTTGCTTGTACATTTCTATCATTAGCAACCATCCCATCAGAGAAAAATGGAAACCATCCGTCAACGAGGAGCAGGGCTCGAAATTATTTAGGGAAAATATTGAACGCTCTTTTCCCTTTATACTTTTTTCTAACCCACTTCACTTTTGTCTATTTTGTCTCCTCCCTCCACCAACTTAACACTGTTGCTGATAATACAAAATGGGATTAATCAGCGTCTTTCTTTCTTCTTCTATAAAAAGGAACTCTCATCTTCTGCTTTCCGCAGAAGCCTACTCCCCTCCAATGGCTCCCCAACAACTCTCCCCGCTTTTATGTTCTCTCCTGCTCACTCTCACTTGGCTTCTCTTCCCCAGCCGATGTGCTGCTTCAGGTGCCAATCTAAAGGCAAATCCTCCCTTACTGGATTTAATATTTCTTTTTCTTTTACTATTTAATGATATTTTTTTTCCTTTCTTATATTATATTTTTTACGATTCTCCTAATTATTTTGACCAAGTATACTCGTATTTTGTTCAGCCATATACAGTGTACATGGGAGATCTTCCTGGAGACGAATCTTTTGCTGCATCACTTCACGTAAGTATGCTACAGAAAGTGGTTGGCAGGTTTGTGTTCGTACAGGGAATTTATAAATTTTTATAAAGATGGCATTTATTTATTTGTTCTTTTCTTTCTGTTACCGAATAATAGCTCCTTCTTCTTTGTCTCTTTCTTGCAATTTTTTTTCTCATATAATTCTTTGTATCAGAACTTTAGAGCTCCTATGTTCTTACATAAGTTAAAACTTGGACATTATCACTAACTTGAAGGGTGGAATGAATTCAATAGTGAAGCAGAAAACCGTCTATTGCACAGTTACAGCAACAGCTTCAATGGATTCTCTGCCAAACTTACAGAGGAGGAGCTGGAAGAGCTGTCAGGTAACTTAATTATGATCACGTTACGTGTAATTAATTGCCATAGGACTTGGATTAGTTGATTAATTAATTAATCCCCAGGTATGGATAGAGTGGTGTCTGTGTTCCAAAGTCAAAAGCGAAAACTCCACACAACAAGATCATGGGACTACATGGATTTCCCTCTACAAGTCAAGAGATCAAAGCTCGAGAGTGATGTTATAGTTGGAGTAATTGACTCTGGGATTTGGCCTGAATCAGAAAGCTTCAGTGATAAAGGATTTGGTCCACCACCTTTCAAATGGAAGGGCACTTGCCAATCCTCTTCCAACTTCACTTGCAATAAGTAAATTTATTTTCTTCCTTTGTTTTTCTTTTTTACAAAAAATCGAATCATAAGAAGCAAAGCTTCAACTTCTGTTTATCATTTTTACAATGTTTACACCCTCCTACATGTTGGGTTCCCTCCTATGTGAGGGGAATTAAAAAAAAAATATATATATATATATATTTGTGGGTCCCACTAGGGTTTTAAACCCTTGTATATATATTGTTTTTTGGTGTGTTTTAGAGCGTGTGGAAAAACTGTAGCTCATTTGAAGGTTAGAGGCACCGTGCAACTCATCAAGAGAGAGAAAAAAAAATTTTTCTTCAACCTTTCAGCTCATTGAATTTGCATTTGCGAATTCGTTAACTGTTGAATCGACCTGAAATTTGGACTAGGTGTTCTTCATCCTTTCCTCTTCAATCTGAACGGTGGAGATCTGGTTTGGATGTTGGAATCATCAAGTTTTTGGTAATTTACAGAAATCGCTTTCTGGGTTTCCTTGGTAAAGTTTTCTGTATTCAGTTCACTCCTTTTCTGTTTACGAGTTCGTTCACCGTTATATCGAGCTCAAATTTGGAGTGGTTGTTCTTCACTTGTGGTTCTTGATTCTGAACGGTGGAGATTGGAATAAGTGTTGGAAATCATTGGATTTAGACTGCTCGAATGTAATCTGTTTTCAGGTTACTTTGTCAGAAAATCAGTTTTATCATCCTTGCCGATCAGAAGGTCATTTGTGGTCTGATTGAGCTGATTTTTGGAGAGCATGTTGTGAACTCGTTGTTTTTTGTTTTGAACAGTGGAGATTGTATTTGAACAACTGGAAGGTGCTCAGATTGTGTTGACAGCAATTGCCATTGGTGATATCTTTCATAACCTTGTTATCTCTTGAATGTTTTGAAGTGTGATTGAGATTTTGATTGTTGATTTATTGTGGTAGATTTTAATTGCTGTAAACATTAATAATTTGATAGTGAAATTTTTCCTTAGACTGGAGAGAGGTCCCGTGGCTTTTATCCCTCACAGAAGGAGTTTTTCATATAAAAATTATTGTACCTTGTATGATTATTTTATATATGTTGTAAATTGTTCGTAGACACTTGTTATAAAATCCCATCACTACAATGATTAAAATAACATATATTAATTTATTAATTATTAATGCCGATGCAGAAAAATCATAGGAGCAAGATATTACAGCAAGGAGAGACCAATTCCCGAAAAAGATATTCCATCTCCAAGGGACTCAAATGGCCACGGGACACATTGTGCATCAACGGCAGCCGGAAATATTGTCAGCAAGGTGAGCTTGTTTGGCTTGGGCCTGGGGACGGCTCGAGGCGGGGTTCCCTCAGCTCGCATAGCGGTTTACAAGACGTTATGGAGTGATGGTAGCTCTGATACTGACCTTCTCGCAGCGTTTGATGATGCAATCGCCGACGGTGTTGATATATTATCAATTTCCCAAGGAAGCAATTACGCTGAAGACTATTTTTCGAATTCTATTGCTGTCGGATCTTTCCATGCCATGAAGAAAGGAATATTGACATCCGCTGCGGCCGGTAATGAAGGTCCTCACCGTCAGACAATCTCAAATGTGGCGCCTTGGCTTGTCTCGGTGGCTTCGGGCACCACGGACCGCAAGTTCTTAACCCCGGTTAAGTTGGGAAACAGAGAAGTTTACACGGTGAGTTGATTTATTTAGTTTGCAGTACGCACTATTTACAGCAGTCTTACCAATGTCAATCCCTAGCAATGGATAACATGGTGGCTTTGAAGGTGTTAAAAAACTTCGATAATTTTTGCGTTTTTGTTTTTTGGATGATAAATGTAAATCTAACGGAACAAGATATAGAGTAATTCAATTCAGTAATTCAAAGTTGGGAATTAATTATCTGAAGAGATTTGGGATGGAAAAGTTCCTCAAATAATGGGTAATTCTGATTAGATCTAGCAGTAGTAGTCCCTTTAGTCTATTTAACAAACATGAGATTAGGGGAGGGGAATGAGGATTAGTACTCCACCCCCTATTCCATAATCCTCCTTGTTTAATGAAAGTTATATTTTGGGATTGCCCATTTTGAGACCTTATAGTAATTGTACATTTTCATTGCAGGGATTTTCAATTAATACTTTTGAGCTCAATCACACGTATCCTTTAATATATGGAGGAGATGCACCAAACAAAATTAAGGGATTTAAGGAGTCCATTTCAAGGTATCAACACAAATGTGCTTAATTGACTTTTAGCGAATGGTTTCTTGGTTTAAACCCAAGGGGGGTGTTTGAATGAACTTTTTTTTTTAACCTTTAAACTTTTTTCTAATTTAATTTAAGTAAAAATAATGTTTCATTATAAACCAAATACCCCTTAGTTTTAGCTATATGGAAAACTCATGGTGCCTATCCGCCTGCCTTGCCATGGAACTGTGGGTTCTGTGCCAACAATTCATTGGACAAAACTTTCACCAAGGGAAAAATAATCCTTTGTGACTTCTCGAAAGAAACATCGGTAGATACCATACCCTCCAGTGCGTTGTGGGGTATGTTCTGCGATATCAAGGTTCTAATGAAACTGCATCCTCTTTTCCAATTCCGGCAGCTTTGATGCAACCGGGACAAAGTGTCCACATGTTTGATTACATAAAGTCAACCAGGTGCCAATTGCAAGTATAATTTGCAGAAGTTACACTTCTGCTTATTGCTTAGTCTTAATTTTTATCCCGTAATTTCTATCGTGACATATTTAGTTTAGGACAAATTGCTCAAAAAATTTAAATTTTAGTATTATACTTCCACAAATACATAAAATAAACATTCTCCTTTATAAATATTAAATTGGTAGTATTTACACCTCAATCAATATTTAAGTAAAATATTTATCAAAAATTCTACTTTTAAATAATATAATTATCTTTTTAAGTATAAATTGTGATTGTAAATAGTTAGAACGGGAAAAATCAATCAATATTTATAATTAAAAATACATTGATACCCTTTAAAAATAGAATTTTCGGTAAATATTGATTGTAACGGTAAGTACTATAAATTTAATATTTACAAAGAAAATATTTTTTTTTCATATATTTTCAGGGGATATAGTATTAAAATTTAAATTTTATGAAAGGTAAAGTGCCATTTTACCTTTAGTTTATAAATTTAAAGAAGTTAATCAAACGAGAATAATGTTAGCAAAAAATTGTCATTTTTTGACTGTAATGAACCAAATTCTGGCAAAAAACTGTGTTTTTTTAATAAAAATCTTGGTATTCTCTCTGAAAAGCAAACATCATTAATTTTTGTCCTCATCGGCATACTTCAGGGCATACTTCAAAAACCATTGGGACTAAACATGTTACAATTTGGTATTGCGAGGACAGGTAATGCACTTCAACGAAACTTTACTGTCTAAAAGTGTGATTTACCCATATAATTTTGATCGCCTGTGTGATGCAAGGTTACCTAGAGAGTCTATCGTTATTGATTGAAAAAAAAAAAAATATATCTTTTCATGGATGTGAGCACAGATACCCGACTGGAGTTATAATGAAAAGTATAGAAGGGAAAGAACCATTGGCCCCTATTGTAGCCGGAACCTCCTCAAGCGGTCCAAACCCCATTTCACCAAGCATTCTTAAGGTAAATTCGTTGGCTTTGACATTTCATTCTAGATTCAAAATTTACTTGCTCATATTTTCATGTGTTTTTCTATGTGCATCGGGCGTTGTTTGCGTGACAAAAATTAAAATAAAAAAAGGAAGGCGCCCCATGGATGTCCATATGGAGTTATCAGCAAAACAGAGTTAACAGTTCCTTTTCCCGTTTTGTTTTCCTCTTCATGAATATCTTAATAGCATAATTAGAAGAGCACTTCCATCTCCTCCCTTCAAAATTTTCAAATAATTTGGACTACCCATACCCCTCCACCCCAATTTTAGTCTATCACATTTAATCCTAATACTTACAGAAGTGTAATACATTTAGTCCCTAATTAATTTTCATGTGGCAGCCTTAATTTCTTCTTCAAATCGGCTCAATAACTCTATTGTCTTCTCAAATTTTTGCCTTATTGTAGAGACTTGCAATGAAGTTATGTACCAGTTATAATCACATGCTTTTAATTTTTAAAATGGACCTTAAATTAAGGACCATTCTTACACATCCTTAATTTTTAAGATGGAGATATTATTACACATTCTTATGCTTAATGCATTAACGTCTTTTTTAAAGTTTTTTTTGAAATTTTTATGGGTCTTGAACAACTTAAAACTTAATCTTATGTTTGGTACAGCCAGATATAACAGCCCCGGAAGTAGACATATTAGCTGCATATTCTCTATTGGCCCCAGTTTCTGTGTTCATAGGAGACACTAGAAGAGCGCCCTTCAATATAATATCAAGGACTTCCATGGCTTGTCCCCATGTTAGCGGAGTTGCGGCCTGCGTCAAATCCATTCATCCAGATTGGTCTCCTGCTGCTATTCAGTCAGCTATTATAACATCTGGTATTGCCTTTTACTTATATTTTATTTTACTCAAAACCAATCCACAAATTGTAAGGTTTTGTGGCCATCTGGGCTAGTCCTATGATTGCTGCTTATTTGTCAAACATGCCCAACTATTCCAATAATGGCAAGTCTTTAATTAGAACTCCTTAATGAAGTTGCATTTTAGAAAGAAGGGAGGATTCTTGGTTGAAGTTTTGACTCATGAACAAGCAGCAAACTATCCTTCTTTCACGATTCACTTGACTCTTTTGGTTTTTTGGTAGCACATCCGATGAGTTCACAAGCCAACCTTGATGGTGAATTTGCCTATGGAGCCGGTTTTCTCAATCCTCTTGGTGCAGCACACCCCGGTCTAGTCTACGACGCAAGTGAGATCGATTATGTTAAGTTTCTCTGTGCCGAAGGTTATAGTGTCAAGCAACTAAGACAAATCACCAAGGATCAAAGTGGATGTTCCAAATCCTCCAGAAAAAATGGCAGTGACCTAAACTATCCATCTTTCACCATCTCCTCCTTGCGACAGAAGGCATTTATCCACGTCTTTGAAAGCACTGTCACCAATGTTGGGTCACCGTGTTCCACTTATAAAGCCACCATTCAAACCCCAAAGTCTGCACAACTTAAAATTCTTGTTGAACCAGAGACATTGAAATTTAAGTCAATTAGGGAGAAGTTAACTTTTCAATTGTTGGTCGTGGGAATCGTGGGCCAGAATGATGAAGCCCTTCTTTCTGCCTCTCTAGTATGGGATGATGGTATGCACCGAGTTAGGAGCCCCATTGTGATTCACGTGCCATTCTGAATTGTACACAAATATTTTAAGAAATATCTCTACTAATAAAAAGGGGTAAAAATTATAAATACTCTTTAAGTATTTATAAAATTTTAAGTTTATCTCTTAATTTTATTATTTAATTTAAATTAGACTCTCAAATTATATTAATGTATTAATATTATTATCTGAATAAGTACAATCAAAATAAATTAAAAAAATTCACGCATTTATCTTGGTAAGAAATAAGTGTTGATAAGAAACAAAAATGTTTAAGTAATTTACAATTCTAAATAATAATCTAAATTAATTAAAATAACACTGTTTAGACATTTAAAGTAGTTAAAATACTTGCTTATGTCTTTATATTAGACTTTTAAGTGGACTATTTTAATTAATTTACATTACTATTTAAATTTTATAAGTCATATACATATTTTTGCATCATATTAGCACCTTTTTTCTTACCATGTAAAAACTTACATGAATTTTTCAATTTATTTTGAATTATACTGATGTTAAAGATAACATTAACGCAAATAATATTAATCTGGCATCAATTTAAGATAAAAAATAATAAAAAGACGAAATTGAGATTTTCTACACATTCGGGTGACCATTTAGAATTTTTACCCTGATATAAACTTCAATTTGCAGGTCATACCTGGCAAAACTTGAAATTAGAAATTTGACTAGTGTTGTAGTGTGTAAACCTTTCGCTTGTGGCACATCTAACCGTTGGGTTTGGAATAGATTTTGATGTTATGAATCCGGATGCCAACCCACAAAATAAAGAGAAGAATTATGCAGAAAATGATAAGATTCTTAATGATTTGATTGAATCTAAGGTTTTTCCAAGTTTTCTAGATTCGATACTAATTTGGGAATTTTCTAACTTAACTCATTACGTCAGTTCAAAGAATCTAATAAAAATACCTAGAGCAGTTTAGTTCAATAAGTAGAAATTCAATTTTTAGACTACAATTTGATCCAAGAGGGTCTAAGGAGTGTCAAATAGAAATACCTATTTCAATTTAGTTCAACAAGTAGAAATTCGATTTTTACACTATAATTTGATCCAGGAGTATCTAACAAATGTCAGGGTGAGTAAAAGATGTGAATGGAAAAGAAAAAAAAGTTGCTATAATAGTTACCGCAGCTGGTCATTATAGTGTTCCTATAACTCACTATAACATCTTATATTTTGGAATTAGCATATTATAGTACGTCAAATTCTACTATAGTATGTTATAGCATACTTGTGCCAGCTATGACAGGTTGCGGCGAGATTTTTCACTTCTTTCTAGGATTTTAAGGGTTTTCAATCATTTTAAGGATTTTTCGCCCTCTTCAACACTTAGAACTATAAAAGGAAGACTTTGAACATCATCCTAGGAATGTTAAAACAATGTTCGAAAAACCGGACCATTCATTGAATCGGAAAAATTACCAATTCACCGGTCCAACCGTCAATTGAACCGTTATTGAATCGGTGACATTATAATTATGTAATTTATATAAATATATATTATAAAAAAATAAAAAAAATATTTTAGGCTAATATCCCTCACTATATTCCCAATTAGCCAATCATGTATTTCAATTATTTTTGTAGAGACTTCCATAGGATTGTGAAAGAAGGCACTTCCTTTATCATTACTTTCACATCATATATTAAAAATAAATGTAGGTGATCCCACAAAATGGAAAACAGAGGCACAAGATAAAATCAAAATAAAGAAGATGATAATGTCAACATTCCGCAAGTGACACGTGAAGCAATAAAAGTTACAGAAACAAGTAAACTAATCGGCTCTAGCATAATTTATTCTCTCAATGAACATGAAAAGCTAACCCATCATCATCTGGCATGTTACAAACTTCAAATCAAACACATACACACTACAATCTGTATAAGAGCAGCGGATGTACGCATTTGCTCAGTTTCATTTCCAATTAACTCTCCAATTTTATTCGGATTTGAAAAAGTGGAAGATTCGCAGGTAGGAAATGTGAGGGGAGAGGGAAAAAATACACTAAAAGTGGAGATGAAACATTTTAGTACCTTGGAATAAGGAATAATGTGGTCATAGTCGTGATAGAGGCAGCCAGGGCATCCCATGAGCTTCCAGAAGACGATGTTGCGGGGAGCATCTCAGTGCCAACGGACAGAGTCTCGACCTTTGACTTTCTCAGCCTTGTTCCAGCATTGCTGCTTCACACTGTAAGGGAAGCTCTTGGGGTTAGGGCCTGGAGAGGAGATTTGTAGATTCTCGAACAAAGCGAGGTCCTCTTCGGTGACGAGCTCGTAGTCCAAAATTGAAACTCTAGAGGGAAAGAGCCTCGAAGGACGAGACCTAGATGGAGATGCTACTTGTTCGAATGCAAATGAGCCGAGGGGGCGCTCTCCCGTCGGAGATGAGTGGCTTTTCCTCCTCACTCCCCTATTTGGCCTCATGGTCTACTTCCCTCTCCCCCCACACACCAGAACAGGAATTCAATTAACTCTCCAATTTTATTTGGGTTTGAAAAAGTGGAAGATTCGCAGGTGAGAATTGTGTATCAAATTAGAGTGAGATTACCTCGCAAGTGGATGGATCAACGATTTGAACCAGTCGTACCGGCGTTGGCAACAAATCAACGAGGCTTCGTCTACGGCGGTGGTAGGAGAAGAAAGAGGGTTAGGGATTTCTCCTCAATCGGGGTGGGTTTAGGTCACACGTAGTCAAAGAAAGAGGGAGGAGAGTGAGAAAATATTTATATTTTTAAGATAAAACTTTAAAAAAAAAAGAAAAGAAAAACAAACTGTCTAGTTCAAGAAAACCGCAACTGGTTTACTGGTTTAAGTGGTCGAACTGGCGGTTCAAGCGGTTTTCAAGAAATATGGCGGTTTTTTCACATTAGTCGATTTTTTCCCAAAACCAGACCGAAAGGAAGACCGGCTGACGGTCCAACCGGTCCGACCAACCAGTCTGGTCCAGTTTTTTAGACCTTCTATCAAAGCTCTTGAGGAGGACTAAACCATGAGAAAAAGATAACATGGGGCCCTTGGATAATTTAGGATAACATTTCCCATCCAAGTAGATATTGGGTCACGCCATGCTCGTGTAGAAATTGCTTTAAAGAGTAGCCGTCATTTTCTATAATTTACTTTTTCTTTTTCTTTGTCCTTCTCTTTTCTTTTTTTTTTTCCCTGATCTTCTTTGTTCTTTTTCTTTAATTTGTTTAAAAACATTTTTTACCAAAAAATGAAATGAAATTTGATTATTGTTTTATTTCGAATAATTTTCGCATTGAAATTATTGTTATTATTTATTTATCTATTGTCATAAATAAGCTGATGAGGGCTATTTATCATTAATTATGCATGGGAAGGTCAATATGAGGTAGTATCTTTCCTCTAAATGAAAAAAAAGAAAAATTGAATGACTCGTCAAGTAATTATTTTTTGGGGTCATTATGGAAAATAAAAACTCTCTTCTAAAGCACACTACAAAACAAAACCTTAGGAGTCAGGAAAAGATAATTTATCTCTAGATACAAATTTCACATTTATTTTAACTTTATTTTAATAGTATGCATATAGGGCTGTAAATAAATTAAATTTAAATTATATTAAGTAAATTCAAATCTGAATCCAATTATCTATTTTTATATTCAAATTCAATCTAAAATCTTACAAGATCCATGTCTCATAAATTAGATCTAAATTGACGAATAATACTCTTTTATATTCAAATCACTCAATCTTATTCCATTTTAGCATTGAGTAATATTATCGTAATTAAATAAAAATTATTTCGGACATTTTTGTTCTTAAAATCTTATCTTATATCCAAAATTACCCATTTGTGTCTGAGTTTTCCATTGCAAAGACCAGAGAGGACCTGCTATTTAGTCTCTTTACTGCCATGCCATTTTATTAACTCTGCATTACTTCAAAAGCCAAGCATATTCACCACCTTTTGCCCTCTTTTTTGGTATCTTTTGTAATGTTGTAACCTTCCATCACCCTCTAGGGTTTCTTTATCCTCATAAGCTTACAAATGAAATAACTGCAAACAGACAGACTTTACTACAACAAATAACATTTTTATTGGCAATCATAACGTGCATTAATAGCAATTCTTATTGTTGGTAAAACCTTTACCAACAATTAGATTGTTGCCCTTGTATCTAGCGTCGCTAAAAGGTTATAATATCAATTATGCTTTTGTTGGTAAAAATCATATTTATTGCCACTAAAAACTTTAATTTATAACAGTAATTATATACTAACAATTGTTATTGTTACTAAAAATTTTAATTTATAATAACAATTACTATTGCTACTAAAAACTTTAATTTATAATAGCAATTATATATCAACAATTATTATTATTGTTACAAGTTCTAATTTATAACAACAATTATTATTACTGCTATAAATTTTAATTTATAACAACAATAGTTATTGCCACTAAGAGTCTTCTACTCAATAATATAGCAATTATTATAAAAGTACATAAAAAAATACTAAAAAAATATTGTGAAAGTGCAAATCAATTAAAAATATTGATATAGAAGGAAATGTCAAAATATATCATACTCAGAAGGAATATTATAAAAGTACCAATCAAGTTTATAAACCCAATTTGTCATAACTAGAAATAAAATATACAAAAAATTGATGAAAGTATTTCAAAGTATAACTAAAAGAATAAAAAATTTAATCCCTATCGGTAGAAATAGAGAAGTTTTATTTAGTCAATGCTTTGTTGCACATACAGTCTAGAAAATATTAATCTGCAGGAAAACGTGAATTCCAAGTAATTTAGTATAATATTCCAACACTTCAAAAGCTTAAAAATTAGAAAGTAGAAATAATATTAATTCACTTTGTAGAAGCCTACTATTTAATGTCAACATTAGCACACAACGAACTTACAACATGGACTACTACTTCAACACACTAAATAAATATGTGACATGCAACAACTAATTTCACATTGACTTTAAAGGAAATGAAACTCGGATGAAACTTAACAATG